CTTTCAAACATAAAATAAAGACTTTGTCAGACATATGAAAGAAATAATTTGCTTCCAGCAGTCCTGCACTGAAGAAATGGTAAATGATGTCCTTGAAGCTAAAGGAAAATAACAGATAGAAACTGATCTACTCGAAAGAATATAGTACACCAGAAATGGTAAATAAATGGGTAATACAAGACTTGTTAGAAATCTCCATAATTTAACCACAATTAATAACAATGTGTTGTGGAATATATAAAATATTTAGAAGTAAAATCTATGACATAAAATACTACGGTGGCCAGGAGAGAGAAAATGAAAGTATACTGTTTTTAAGGTTCTTTTTTTTTTTCTTGGAGACTTTTTTTTTTCTTGCTCTGTCTCCCAGGCTGGAGTGCAGTGGCACAATCTTGGCTCACTGCAACCTCTGCCTCCTGGGTTCAAGCAATCCTCCTCAGCCTCCCAAGTAGCTGGGACTACAGGCACACACCACCACACCTGGCTAAATTTTTTTTAGTAGAGACAGGGTTTCACCATGTTGCCCAGGCTGGTCTCAAACTCCTGAGCTCAGGCAATCCGCCCACCTCGGCCTCCCAAAGTGCTAGGATTACAGGCGTAAGCCACTGCGCTCAGCCTAAGGTTCTTGTAATACAGATGAAGTAGTATAATATTACTTTAATGTAGAATGTGGTAGCAATTGTATTAAAAACTCTAAAGCAACCACTAAAAAGACAAAAAGTTGTAAGTAATGAATCAACAAAGCATCTAAAATGGAATCACCTAAAATCATGTAAATTATGTTTTCCAACTATAATGCAATTCAACTAGAATTCAATTACCAAAATATATACTTGGCAAAGTATTAATATCCAAAATACAAGCAAACACACACATATACAAATCAGTAAGAAAAAAGAAAAATGATCCATCAGGAAAATGGACACAGAATATGAATAGGTAATTCATCAAACAGAAAACAACGGTGGCCAAATGAAGAAATTCTCAATTGTACTAGTTATTACAGAAATTTATTTTTAAAACACACATACAAACACACAAACAGCATTCGATAATTATCAGACCGGCAGTAACTAAAAAACAGAAAATACCAAGTGTTTATATGGCATAAACCCACAGAAGAGCAATCTGTCAATATCAAACATTTAATAAGGTTAAAACGTGTGCATATTGCCTAATACAAGCATAAGGAGAAAGGTATACTAAATGTAGTGCTGACACAACTAAGAATTGGGAAGAATCCAAATGCCCATCGATAGAATAATAGATATATTTCTTTTCTTTTTTGAGACAGAGTTTCGCTCTTATCACTCAGGCTGGAGTGCAATGGTGTGATCTCAGCTCACCGCAACCTCCACCTCCTGGGTTCAAGCGATTCTCCTGCCTCAGCTTCCTGAGCAGCTGAGACTACAGGCACGTGCCACCACCCCAGTTAATTCTGTATTTTTTTTTGAGACGAGTCTCTCTCTGTCGCCCAGGCTGGAGTGCAGTGGTGCACACTGCAAGCTCCGCCTCCCGGGTTCACGCCATTCTCCTGCTTCAGCCTCCCGAGTAGCTGGGACTACAGGTGCCTGCCACCACGCCTGGCTAATTTTTTTGTATTTTTTAGTAGAGACAGGGTTTCACCATGTTAGCCAGGATAGTCTCGATCTCCTGACCTCGTAATCTGTCCGCCTCGGCCTCCTAAAGTGCTGGGATTACAGGCGTGAGCCACCGCCCCCGGCTCTAATAATAGATACATTTCTGAAACAGATTACTGTAAAGAAGTTAAAATAAATAAACTAAATCTACATTTATTAATATGAACCTCAAAAAGTAAATGAATAGGTATATTTCAAAAGGATAACTACAGTATGAAACCCTTTATATAAACCTCTCATACAAACAATACTTTATATGGTTGTACATACTAACATACACAAGAAACGCATACACATGCTTGAGAAGGATTGTTGCCAACTTCATATGGTGGTTACACTAGGAGAAGGGAATGAGATGAGAGGGGTTTAAGTATGAAAATAATTAATTCTTAAGTCAGATCTGAGATATATGCCAAAATCTTCATTTATTAAAACTAAGAAGGAGTATTTTAGAGTTCCATATTATTTTCTGTACTTTTCTGTATGCTGGAAAGATTCAGGTTAAATAATAATGAAAAGTAAAACAGAAAGCAATAATGTAAAAAAATATATATATGACAGGAAGTTTGCTTCTGACGTGGCTCTCTCTTCAGAAAATAATAGGAAGGAATCTGTAATCTAGTAAGACAACTGTGTTTCTTCAATTCCAAGCCAAAAAGGAAACAAAGACTAATGCTGGCATATTAGAAGGTAGGAAGGTTACCAGTTCTCACTTTCACTATGTAATTATCTGCTTTTGGTATGGTAGCCCACACACATCTTTTTTTTTTTTTTTTTTAACTTTAAGTTCTGGGACACAAGTGCAGAATGTGTAGGTTTGTTACCTAGGCAATATCATCCAGGACATAGGAATGGGCAAAGACTTCATGACTGAAACATCAAAAGCAATTGCAACAAAAGCCAAAATTGGCATATGGGATCTAATTAAACTGAAGAGCTTCTGCACAGCAAAAGAAACTATCATCAGAGTGAACGGGCAAGCTACAGAATGGGGAAAAATTTTTGCAATCTACCCATCTGACAAAGGTCTAATATCCACAATCTACAAGGAACTTAAAACAAATTTACAGGAAAAAAAATAAACAACCCCATGAAAAAGTGGGCAAAGGATATGAACAGACACTTCTCAAAAGACACTTATGTGGCCAAAAAACATATGACAAAAAAGCTCAACATCACTGATCATTAGATAAATGCAAATCAAAACCACAATGAGATACCATCTCACATCAGTCAGAATGGCAATTATTAAAAATCCAAGAAACAATAGATGCTGACGAGGCTGTGGAGAAGTAGGAACACCCACATACATCTTTAAGTGTGCCTGTTACGAAGTGGTCCAGAGAGCCTCTCTCTTACTACCTCCTTTGGGGGTGGAGGGGTTAAAAATTACAGTTTTCTCCTAAAGTAGAAAAGGAAGAATCATTAGCTTAGTTATATAGGAAGGAATCAGGGATTCCAACTGCTTCTTAAACAGATTCTCAACCAATCATTCTGTTTTCAGCCTTTACTGTATCAGATACCTGATGGTCCCAATCCCAGGGCCTCTGCTCCACAATATAAATAGGGTCAGTTCTTAGCTTTCTCCCTATTGCTGGTGTAGCATTCAGTTTCCTCAGATCTACTAATATATTACCTTTTGTCCGTCTGTTTCATAGCTTAGTAAACATTCCTGAAAATATATCTTCTCTCATTTTTATTTTTATTTTTTGCCTCTTTAAAATTCCTAATTTACTGTCATTTTCATCGTTTCAAAAGGGAGCAAGGTAACTGCATATGTTCAATCTTTCATATAAAGTCATTTTAGGGCCAGGAGCAGTGGCTCATGCCTATAATCCCAGCACCCTGGGAAGCTCAGGTGGGAGGACTGCTTGAAGCCAGGAGTTTGAGACTACTGTAGGCAATATACTGAGACCTGTATCTACAAAAAATAAAAACAAAAATAAACTAGTCGGGTGATTTAAAAATTAAAAAAAATAGTGGCGTGAGTGGGAGGCTGAGGCAGGAGGATCACTTGAGCCCAGGAGGTAGAGGATGCAGTGAGCTATGACTATACCACTGCACTCCAGACTGGGTGGGTGACAGAGGGAAACTTTGTCCCTTAAAAAAAAAAAAAAAAAAGTCTTTTCTATTACTTATCACCATGTGAAAATACGTGCTTTACGATTTAGTTCACAAACACACGCACACAGCAGAACTTTAGCTTGTCCACAGCCCTTAACACAACCCCTGGCACATAGCAGATGCTAATAGAAAACTACGGTTAAAACCGTAAGAGAAATTCCCATGAACCCCACCTCCCAAACAGATACAACATGGGAGACAACTCATCCTGGCTGGCTCAACCTGACACACCTTTCTCCTACTAGCAGATCCCCACCACAGTGAGTGGGATCCAGATCCAAGCTAAGTTAATCATAATCTAGCCACAAAAATTTTTTAACTGCAGTTGGAAACAAAAGCTCCTTTTTTTTCTTTTATCAAAAAACATGCATATAAACCAAGAGTGCAAATGACATTATTATCCACCATGTGATAAAGAAGTCTGTAAGAAAAGAAAATCAGAGCTGTCCCAATCAAATAGTCACAAGGGGCACAAAAGAAAGACTCTCAACAACATTCAAATCCTTAATCTCATGTACTTGTAGCATTCCAGAGAAGCCATGGTTCTAATCTTCTCAAAGTTTGGTTGTTCAACTATTCCTTTTTGTGTGTATGTGTTATTCACTCCTTTACTGTGTCAATAAATACTCCCTTTATGTTTAGCCTCAGGGTAGTATTTGCTTATGCTAAGGTGTGTGTTGCTTATATCACACTCAATTCCCAACACTTGCAATTTCACATTTTACATCTTTAACATTTACATAAAATAAATGGAATTTTACATTACATTAAATAAGATATATTTAGTACAGATCTCTTTAAATGCTCTTAGTTATGCCATACACTACTGTTGCTACCAATGGACACCTGCTGAAAGAATTTTATGTAGATAAAAATAATCTCTATTTCTCCTCCAACTCTCACATATGAAGAGGGGATGATATGGCAAGAAAGATACTCATTAGAAGACAAATGACCAACAAAACTATTTCCTATGAAAATGAAACTTTTCTTTCTGAAGATTTTTAACACTCAGCTTTTGTTAATAAAAACTGGTCATTGCAAATAAGTTATAATGTATGGAAATTGTTCTTTAAGTTACTAAAAGGGGGAATCTAGCAGAAGTGACACTTTGTAGCTGTTTCTAGCTGAGTAAAAATGAGTGGATTAGTGAAGCTATCCTATCATTTTTTAGATCTTTTTCATTGCAATAAAGTTCACCATTTAAAATATTTTTTAAGGTTAGCTACCACTTACTGCTTCCAGTTGTTTCTTCTTCTGCACTAGTAACTCCAACATAAGATTGACATTGGCCAAATCAAGGTTATCTTGGTCAGTTCCCAACAAATCTTGAAATATCTGCCACCTGTGGCCATTCTAAAAATGAAGAAAGAAGAAACAACAACTTCCTAAGAAGACTGTTTTAGAGACTAAAACAAATGTTTACTTGCTACTTCCTAATATGCTCATTACATAGACACCAAAAACACACTGCAATGTTCCAAACTACTCCTTCCTAGCTAGCGGCTCCCTACTGTCTTCTAGTTATAACTTAAACACTATTTCTTCTCCCTTAAATGAATTAAGATAACAAATATAAAAGGTGCATTCGAGAATATTCTAAAGCTGTAATTTACCTTCAAAATAACTGAATTTAATTATTTGTCTAGCCATATTTTCAATTTTGCATGTAGTAAGGTATTAAGCTCATTTGCCTTGGAAATTTGGGACTAAGCCTTTAAAATTGAGAATCTTTCAAAGGTTTGTTTTTGTTTTTCTTTGAATATAGACAGACTCTCACTATGTTGCCCAAGCTAGTCTCAAATTCTTGGGCTTAAGTGATCCTTCAGCCTTGGCCTCCCAAAGTGTTAGGATTACAGGTATAAGCCCAGCCTCGACAGTTTTTTTGAAAATATCTAACCATTGTTTCACCACGCAATACAATCCTTCAAATGTCAAGTATTAAAAGACAAATGTTTCAATATAATCCTACCAGACCTTTCAAAATAGGAGCACTCTAGCAAAGTATTACAGATAATGCAGTTAAGAAAGTTATTTGACTAGAACAATCCTAACAATCTCCGTTAAGAAAAATCAATAATATATTAAACTTTAACGTCTAACTAATATTAAACCAATAAAAACAACAAAATGAAATGTATTAAAAATAGTAATAAGAGTTGAAACATACGGTGCTACTCACTGAGTGGTCCAATTTGAACCTCTTTTCCTCAAATCTTTGCTTTTGTTTAAGAATGAGTTCATTCACTGAAAACAGAAACAAAATAAAAAGCACAAATAATTTGTATTTTTGTTAAATGTATTGTGTAATTCTTCAGTTTAGATAGATTCTATTTTACCTATACACAGCCTCCAAATTAAAAACATGCTAAACAGAAAGTGTTAGCTTTTTATTTTATTTCAAATTAGAAAACAGTTGTGCTGCAGCTGCTACTACTACAACTACTATTACTATAGGAGAATTCTTCAGAATATGAATTTTCCCTTACAAGTTTCTCAATGATGACGCTACTGGCACCTGAGAGAGAAATCCTCATTCACCATATGAGACCATCACATGCCCCATATGGTAACAAGGCATGAGTAACTAAGTATCTCCTATGAGCTAGGCACTAAAGACTTGCATTTGTTCTTTCTCTTTGTAATTTTTCTAAAAATGCCATGGAAGACACTTTTAGTTACCTATCCAAAGACCATCCTACTCTTTTTCTTGATAATAACATGACTTTTTTTCCAAGTATCAGACTGCCATATAACTTTCAGAGAAGTTAGATCTCACCCCAACCCCATGTATTACTTTGACTAACCTAAGGCAATCTAGTCATTCATGCCCTTGCCAGTGGTTGACGTGGGGTTAAGTATGTAACCCAATTTTGACCAAAGAGAGATGTGCTATCTTTCAGAAAGAAAAGGATAGGAGAAAAAACCATGCCTTCATAAGGGGTATCTGAAACTGCTCAGAGCCATCTTGTAATCTCAAGAATAGCCAGCCAAAAGACTAAGGTATACGCTGGCAATGGAAGAACAGAACAACAGAAAGAACCTGATAATACCACTGAACCACTGATAACTAGCTCTAGAAATTCTTTTCCTGTGAATCGATACATTTTCCATAATGTTTAACCACTTTAAATTGGATTTTTCAATTTTTCTACAACCAACAAATATAAACTGACACAAAAAACTGATTTTTTTTTTTTTAAAGGGAAACTAGTACTAGGCTAGGTAGGCACTTTATAGACAATATCTTACAGATTATTCTCCCCAATTAGAGATGAATATTAGCACAGAGAGCATTAAGGAACTTATGCATGGTGACATATACAATGAAGTAGTACTGAGAATATAGACCCAACTGTCTGATACTTCCCACTATACCACAATGCAAGTATAAATATTTTTGAAAACACCAAACAGATACCAAGTTCATAAGGATCCAAGCTTCAAAGATACAATACAAGGCCTCAAGCAATTCAGACAAGCAAGACAGATTCATATGATACAGTACTTATAATGTGATAATCAGTACTATCATTAAAATAGATTTACAAAGTATACACACAGAGATCAATCAAAATGTTAACAAGCACACTTCATATAGAAGGCAACATTAGAAATGGGCCATAATAGGCACACAGAGACTCACTAAGCAAAAATAGGAGTGAAGAAAAATTCAAGTGAGAGAGGGGGTGTGTGTGTGGGGGTGTGTGTGTGTGTGTATGTGTAAGAGATACGATTTAAAATCAATATAGAAGTGAAGAAAAATTCAGATGAGTAAGAAAGTGTGTGTGTGTCTGTGTGTGTGTGTGTGTGTAGGAGATACAATGATTTAAAATCAATATAGTAATCCCAGCACTTTGGGAGGTCAAGACAGGTGGATCACCTGAGGTCAAGAGTTCAAGACCAGCCTGGCCAACATGGCGAAATCCTGCCTCTACTAAAAATAGAAAAATTAGCCCGACATGGTGGCACGCGCCTGTAGTCTCAGCTACTCGGGAGGCTGAGGGAGAAGAATCACTTGAACCTGGGAGGTAGTGAGCCGAGATGGTGTCATTGCACCCCACCGAGCCTGGGAGACAGAGCCAGACTCCATCTCTAAATAAATAAATAAATAAATAAATAAATAAATAAATAAAATCAACATAGCTAAAACAAGGGTCAGAGTGATCTTGTGAATGATTCACAGGGATTAAGAACTAAACCTGCAAATGTAGGCAGATCAGAGTCAGATTGTGAAGGGCCTGAACTGCAGGTACCTTACACAAGGAAAGTTATTATAATCCAGATAAAGTAGAGAGCATGAAATAATTCAGTGGGAATAAAGAGGAGTAAGTCAGTAAGAGGCCAGTGTCCCAGTTATGAATTTAATTTAACCATTTGAAGAAAACTAGTGACTGTTAAAAACTTTATATGAATATACCACATTGAATTTTACCAAGAAATCTTATACACCATTATATTTGATTCTCAATAACAATACTGTAAGATCAAACTTTTTTTTTTCAAAAGCAGCCCTATTAACTAAAGATCAAGCCTGTATTTATTTATTTATTTATTTATTGAGACTCTGTCACAGAGTATGACTCTGTCACCCAGGATGGAGTGCAGTGGTGTGATCTTGGCTCACTGCAACCTCCGCCTCCCAGGCTCAAACCATCCTCCCATCTCAGCCTTCCCAGTAGCTAGGACTACAGGTGCACACCACTCCACCCAGCAAATTTTTGAATATTTTATAGAGACAGGGTTTCGCCATGTTGCCCAGGCTGATCTTGAACTCTTGGCCTCGAGTGATCCATCTGCCTTGGCCTCCCAAGTGCTGGATTACAGGCATGAGACACCAGCCAAAGTAGATCAAGCCTATAAAGGCCACGAAATTAAACCGCAAAATAAAATTACAGCAAATGATGGCAAAAATAAAGTGTAAACAAACAATGTATTAACTGGCTTGCCATATCATATAAAGACATTTAAATTCTATATTTACCAAACTTAAGTTTTTTACTACTGCATCAGATTTTTCATGGAGCTACTTGAAAAAATGGTTATTTTTTTCTTTTTTAAAAACGATATCCTAGGCTGGGCACAGTGGCTCATGCCTGTAATCCCATTACTTAGGGAGGCTGAGGCAGGCAGACAGCTTGAGTCAGGAGCTGGAGAGCATTCTGGGTAACACAGCAAAACCGTGCCTCTATAAAAAATGGAAAAATTTGCCAGGTGTAGTGGTACGTGCCTGTAGTCCCAGCTACTCAGGAGGCCTAGGTGGTAGGACTGCTTGAGCCCAGGAGTTCGAGGCTGCAGTGAGCCATGATCGCTCCACTGTACTCCAGCCTGAGTGAGAAAGAGATGCTGTCTCAAAAACATAAAAATTTTTAAAAAACTATATCCTACAACAAACAATGGTTACCCACGGAAAATAAAAGAAGTGATTTTATTTAGTACACTTGACTTAAGTGTTTCTTCATCAAGGATTATTTTATTATTTTTCTACTTCAAAAATTTAACAGAAAAAAATCTCTTAAAATGCAAGGTATATACACTGGACTTAACATTCAAATGTCAATATATAAAATATATGAAAGTCATTAGAGTCACACATTTAGTGGGAAAACCCTTTCAAACCTATGTCACAACTTACAAACAAGAATAGCAAAATGGTGAATTCCATTCCATAACTTTTAAAACTTATTTTAAAAGCAATGCTTACCTATTAGCAAAAGACAGCAGCTAGCATCTTATTTATACTATAAAGCATTTTATGATCAATGTCTGTCTTGTCACCATTGTGGTCCCTGACGCATAGTTGGCACCTGGTATTTGCCGAATGAATGAATGAATGAATGAATGAATATCTTGATGACATGTTCCTGGATTTTAAGTGTGACATGCCACGTTTAGCTAACGCTTTCATATTCCCAATTAAAATAAGCATTAATTTGAAACCATCATCAATTCTTAGAATTGATACCTAAACCTAAGGATGTTATATATTTCTTAATTACCCTTCTACAGAGCCTTACAACATCCACAGTACTAAGAACAAACATTTCTTAGTACTAAGAAAAACGCATTTTAATGCTAAAGACTCCATTCAAGTAACTGTCTTTTTAGAAGCAGAACAGCACAGTAAAAGCACAGATGCTTGAGACCAATTGCCTAAGACCAAATTCTAATTCCACCACTTTGGCTGTGTAACTTGACACAAGTTACTCAACCTGTCTATGCCTTCGTTTCCTCACCTAAGGAATGAAGATGATAAAAACAGTACCTATCTCACAAGCCTGCCATAAGGAATGAGTTCATGTACATACAGCATTTAAAATAGTGACTGACAGTAGTAAGGACTTTTATATGCATCAGCCATTTTTTTTTTTAAACAAGGATTCTATACTTTGCATGCATACTGTATTTTTTATTAGTGGGTAAGAGGATTATTCATTAGAGAGGTAAGAAAATTCAATTTACAATTTTTTTTTTTTTGGAAACAGAGTCTCACCCTGTCGCCCAGGCTGGAGTACAATGGTGCAATGTCAGCTCACTGCAACCTCCACCTCCCGGGTTCAAGCAATTCTCCTGCCTCAGCCTCCCAAATAGCTGGGATTACAGGTGCACACCACCATGCTCGGCTAATTTTTTGTATCTTTAGTGGACACAGGGTTTCACCACGTTGGCCAGGCTGGTCTCGAACTCCTGACCTCGTGATCTGCCCATGTCAGCCTCCCAAAGTGCTGGGATTACAGGCGTTAGCCACAGCCCCCAGCCTACAAATTTTACATAGAGAGAGAAAGGTAGAGAAAAAGACAGCTGGGTGAGTGGGGGGAGTACAGGGTAAAGGAAAGGAGGGAGGGAGGGAGGGAGGGGAAAAAAAGCAAGCAAGCAAGCAGGCAAGTAAGGGAGCTTAGAAGCAAGCTTTGGCAGGAGAGGAGTACATCTGCGGAGTATATATGGAGTGGAAATGGGGAGGGGTGGTAATGGAGGGTCGGACTTCCAGCCCTTACCTGAATCAGCCTTTCAGGATCAGGAGAGGGAAAGAGAGCATTCAAGACCAAGGGAGGCAGAGAGGAACAGACAGAGTATGCACACTGGAGGGAAGTAAGGCAGAAACAGAAGGGAATGAGAGAAAATACTGTGGAAGGTAGAGAAAGATGCAGGGAAGGGAAGTCAGGAGGAAGAGGGACTATAGTGTAGTACTTACAGCAGGAAATAAGGAAAATCATATTATCTATCTCAATGAAAATGTTAATGCCTCT